AGAGCCTTGTCACTACCATCCTATTTCAGTGGAGTATTACCACTTCACGTTCTCTGTTCTACAGCTGTAACGTGCAAAAATTATACGGCAGTTTCATGTCAACTGCAGTGATCAAAATATATGGGTGGAAAGCAGAGGATGGAGTCAGGAGAATAGTTTATTTATTTTTCTTTTTTTACCTATATTCATGTTCTACTTTTTTAAGTTCTCGGCTCTTGATGCAGCCAGAAAGCACAGTTTGTACAGTGACAGTAAAAGCCCAATAACATCCCTTTATGTTCATAGAAGTTGGTCCCTAGTGTTTTTAGGGGACCGAAAAACCCACAGCTATACCCAACAACAGCCCATAAAGCAGCTTGAGCAACAAAACGACTGCTGACTGATAGTTTTTCCCGTATTTACATGTCCTTGCAAGATACAGAAAGAAAAATAAATAGATAGATAAAAAAGTACCTCCTGCGCCACCACATTTAGCCATTCCTAACTGTGCCTTCAGGCTTTTCCTGCAATGAGAGAGTCCAGTAAATATAATAAATAAATAGCAGAAGGAACTGCCTTCCCCAGCTACCACTGCTACTCAGCTTACACCCTGCAGCAGAAGACTCAATTTCACTTTTATCATTATTTTAGCTGGCAATTGCTTAGACAATTATCCAGTTCTTCTTAAGAAGCTTAATTAAATTATTTATGAAGTTGACCTCCCACAACAGTGAACTCCTTAAAATTTCCTTATGTAAGAATAGAACACTATTTTATTTTGTAAAGGAGAGAGGTAAGTTAACTGTAGAATCACATGTAGTTAGCATTTTCAACTGCACTTGGGACACAAAGAGATTCTAATAAATAATACTGTTGTCCAAGTTGGTTTCTCTTGCCTTACAATGAAGAGGTCAACAATAATTCAGCTTTATTGATTGACTTGGTTATGCCAAAATCAAAGGGAGAAGTGAAGGAAGGTTGTTCTCATCCCATGTGGATGAAGTTCTTCCAGTTCCCTAATGGTTTAAAAAGAAAACGGGGCTTATTAGAAACCTGGGCCATCCCTAAAATACCATTATGGCAAGTGACATAGAGGAACCATTTTGAAATGTTGTTTTGTTGGTTTATTGCAGTAGTAATGACAGTAATTGAAAATGTTAGAGAAGATCTCTCATAGTCTGCTCTGTAGCAATTAGCTGAATTAGGGCACAGTTATTGGGCTTGTGCAGTCCCCATAAATATGCTTAAGACTGTAACCAACCATGTGCTCCTGTCAATCCATCTGTATTGGTTGTACTATGAGTATATGAAAACAGTATTTTCCAATGTATGCTCCGCTGTATTCTATTCAGTGGCTGTAGTTTTCCTCCTGTTATATATTCAGGCTATCAAAATTTGCAGGCAAATAGTGTGAGCATCCAGAATGATAGAAACCTAACACATCTGCAAATGATACTGGGGAAAAAATAGTGTTCACCTAAAACATTGGCTTTTGTAATAATGGGAACAAATCAGATGAAGCTATTTATCTACTTCAAGGCAATATTGAAAGGTTGCTTATTTCTTATCTTGTTTTCATTCTCCTTGGTACCATGCTTATGACCAGTTGAGGTCAACAAGGCTCCATCCATGAGATCTGTCGGCATTTGCTTTTAGAATGCAACATTTTAGTAAATGTTAAGAGAAGGTGGCCCGATCAGTGATTCTCAGTATGGCCCATGGCTGGTTTTGTTTGTTTATTTGGTTGGTTGCTTTCACATAGCTGGTTTTATAAGTAGCTGTTCCAGGTAGAATAAAGAGTTAAGTGTGCTAAATATGTAGAGGCATATTTAAAGATAATACCCATGGAATGTTTGTAATTATCTCTTTCATCCTTCTTCCTCATCCCTCTGTTATCTTCCTGAGAGTTCTATCTCAGGGCCCTCTCTGCAGATTAGGGAGCGTCAGGGAACCTCATGAGATACTCATACAAAGGCTCAGTTTTTCAATATATTGCTTTTGAGGCTTGAAGAAGTAGAGGAAACCCCATTGCAGGGTGTACCTACAGAATATATGTGCTGTAGTGCACCCACAATACATCATAAGAGAAGACTGCCTGTAAATGATTAAATGTGAAAATAAAAGTGTGCCTGTGTATTTGCAGTAGCTTCCTTCTTCCCTGGTCTCCCTGACTCCAGCTTCTTCCTGTTTCCAGCCTGTCCCACATTCTTCTGCCAGAATAAACTTCCTGGTGTAGTGGAGAACCCAACTTGAGCCTACACTATGTCTGGGCATGTTGTTTAAACTGATGGGCAGTTATGACAAGACATTTATCTGTAGGTGGGCTCGGGGAGCCTTTGGGAGAAACTCATCTTGCGGGAAATAAAGAATTAAAAAGTAAAGCTTGATCAAGTAATAAAACCTGAGTTGTCAGAGATGACAGATGATTCTGAGTTCAGCCAGGAGCCTGTGATTAGTCTACTGGATTTAGAATCTTCATCCAGAGGAACACTGTGGAGCGAAAGCTAGAAGGTCTGTTTTACTAAAAATTCTTTATACCCTAAGAGCAAAATAATCACTACTTGGTATCCTGTGAACTGTGGGTAACACAAAAGGCTAAAGGTTACTTGCTTTCATTTCTCTGCGGTCCCTGGTGGGCTTTTGGAACGAAAATGTGTTTCAGGGGCGCCTGGGTGGCTCAGTCCGTTGAGCGTTGGACTCTTGATTTCAGCTCAGGTCATGATCTCAGGGTCGTGAGATCGAGTCCCACACGGCTCCGCACTCAGCACAGAGTCTGCTCGGGTTTCTCTTCCTCTGCCCCCCCCCCCCCCCCAGCGCTCTCTCCCTCTCCCTCTAAAATGAATAAATAAATCTTTTTAAAAAACGTGTTTCAATGTATGGGTGGTAACACCTGTAGAGCTGGCAAGCCCTGTAGGATAGCTTTCCTCTAATGAAGTGCTGTCAGGGGCACCTGGGTGGCTTAGCTGGCAAAGCGTCTGTCTGACCCTTGGTTTCAGCTCCGGTCATGGTCTCAGGGTTGTGAGACCAAACTCTGCGTTGAGCTCTGTGCTGGGCATGGAGCCTCCTTAAGATTCTCTCCCTCTCCCTCTGCCCATCCTACCTACTCCCCCCGCCCCAAAATAAAATAAAAATAAAGAAGTGCTGTCAGAGATAAGAAAGAGACATTGGTGCCCTGGACTGGCACTTGGTAAGGCACAGGGAGACTCAGGGAAGCAGCCCTGGTCCCTCCTGGAAGGCCAGTGCTACACAAGGGACACCCCATGGTGACTGGCCATGTTTATTTATGACACGTGTGAGATGCTCCCTGAGACTCTCTGAAATATTTGAGGAAGCTTTATTTTTTTTTAAAAGATTTTACTTATTTATTTGAGAGAGAGAGAGACTGAGAGAACGAGTGGGGGAGGAGCAGAGGGAGAAGCAGGCTCCCTGCAGAGCAGGGAGCCCAACGTGGGGCTCAATCCCGGGACCCTGGGATCATGACCTGAGCCAAAGGCAGACACTTAACTGACTGAGCCACACAGGCTCCCTTGAGGAAGCTTTAGATGGAGCTGAAGCATTGAATGAGTGTGTGTAGGAAAAGAGATATAGGAATTTGCCCTTGAGAAATTACAAAATATTTAAGTCCTATGGAAAATTCAGAAAACACTGACATCCAAGTCCCTAGAGCCCACATAAAAGAGTTGTGACTATCTTGCCATATTTGCTTGAAATGCCAATTTTATGCTTTTTCTATTGAAAAAATAAAACATTATAGATATATCCATGTTCCCTTCTACTTTCTCACACGTACTTACCATCAGGGAGCTGAGACGTGGGAATCCATAAAAAAATTCTTCATGTTTCCTTTTCACTTTTGAATGTTAATACTAGTAGACTGTACACAACTTTTTAAACTTTTTACACTTATTTTAAAGAATACTTGATCTACTTCTTCTGTTTAAAATATTGTATAGTCTGCCGTCATTTGAATGAGCTGTGATTGATTTACGCACTTGAGGCACTGACATGTGTGCTGTTGTTGATTTGGGCAAAGTTTTATACACATGCTTGTGGTATACTTCTCATGCCCTCAATATTCCAGAAACTCCTACAATTATTTATGGGATAAAGCCCAAACCCATCCACGTGGCATTTGGGTTCGGCCATTAAGGACACGCTCAGACTTACCCATTGCTCCTCTCCTCCTAGGGACCATGGCCGTGTCACTCCAATGGCCATCCCATGAACTTTTCTCCTGCCCTCTCCCTAAAATCCTTCTTTCTGCCTAAGTACTTACTCTACTCTCCACCCCAGGCCAACGCCACTCTCCTTTTGCAGAATCACGATTCCAGTATTTGAAGTCCAGACTGTTTCATCCTTTTCCCCCCCAATTCCCAGCTGCATTTCACCTCCCCCCGCCCACCAATTCTGCATCTTCCCGTTTCATCTCTATTATGGAATTGGTTACACCTCTCCTTCAGTTAGGACACGTGTGTGCCTTCCCCGACTTTCACCTCTGGATCATCCTTAGCTCCTACCGTAAAGTAAAAGTTAAATGAATAAATAGGTGAACAAAGTAAAAAATAAATAAAGGCTCAATTAAATGGAAAGCAGAAGGTATTGCTAAGCCGAGAGTAGTCTTAGTGTTCCTTAAAGCTCAGAAGCCGGCCATGACTGCGTACCTCCTGGCATCAGCTGTCCTCTCGAAAATGCAATTGTGAGAAAATGCAGTTGTGAGAAATGACCAGCGAGCGGGCGGATGAAACCTGGCCCTGCCCAAACCACCAGGGGACATACACTGTTGACAGTAGGGACCAGGAGTGAGAGAAAACTCCCTTCTCTGTTCCTCAGCTCGGGCCGTGCGTGTGCGCATGTGTGCGTGCGTGTGAGCGAGCACGCATGCGCATTCCTCCATCAGCGGGATTGATTCACAGGTTGTTCCAGGCAGAGCCGCGTGAGGCCGAGTCAAGCCTCCTTGGGGGGCGGGAAGTCCCGGATGGAGCCACGTGCAGACGCAGGCACTCCTCCCCGGCTCTGCTCCAGGTCACGGGGATCTCTGGTAAGAGCCAGAGCCTGCTGCACCGTTAGAGAGAAAATCACTCGGCTCCCCCAGTCTTTTGCGTCCAATTTATGTCCAATTTGCAGACTTTCAACATTGCAACCTCACAGTTCATAAAATCAAACTCAGCCTGGGTAAGTCTCCAGGTAATGGATTTAGGATCACGGGAGGTGTTACCTGCAGTCCATGATGGGTAACTTTCTTGTTAACTAAAGTCCCTTTAGCTAAATGAGTTCCAGGTTTAAGTCTCCCTTTCTTTTTTTTGGCAGGGATTTGGGGGGTGGGGGGAGGGTAGGCGTAGAACTTTATTAGGCTGCGCGTGGAGAGCTTTTCATTGCAAAAGGCAACAGAAAAAAAAAAAAATTGGGATAAGCCAGTCTTTGTATAAACGGAAGGTGGTGAAAGGAAGGCTGTGTATGGGGGCTAAGGGATCAACCCTCCGGCTCCACTCGGCTACGTAGGGACCCGGGGAGACGGCCTGGTGCTCCAGGCGGAGCCGGGCCGTTTCCGCAGGTAACTGTGGCTCTGCGGGGAAGGCCCAGGGAGGCCGAAACCGCAGCGGAGGGGCCTGGGGGAGGGGCCTGCGGGAGGGGCCGGGGGGGCGGGGCCTGCGGGAGGGGCCGGGGGGCGGGGCAGACACTCCGCGTCTCTCATCCCCCCCCCCGGCGCCCTCGCGCTTGGGGCGAACGCACCTCCATCCGCTTGCCCTGGGGGGCGGGGGGGCTCTCATCAGTAGTCCGTCGTCGAGAGCAGGTCAATTCAATATTCTAGGTGTGTGTCTAAGCATGTGTGTGAATATGCATACCGCACGGGAGCCTGTGTGTGTGCTCACACCAACAATTGCGGATCTATTCCAGAAACCCACAGGGAACGATCCCTCCTAAGATCAGTGGCCCTTTAAACGTCAGGCTCAGAAGTCAGGTTAATTGCATGTCTTATGTTTTTCAAACAAGTCATGTTTGAGTCACTCCACTTAAAAAGCTAATAAAATGCTATTTAATTTTGGCCTTCTGTTACTCCTTAACCCAAGACTAGCTACTTCTATATTTTATTTCTTTGAAAAGTCGTTTCCCTTATAAAAATCGCATGGCTGTGTGTGTTTCATTGCTCACCTGGATGCACACGTCTCTTAAACCCTTCACCTTGCCTTCCTGCTCCCTGGACCTCCTCGTTCTCCCCTCTGTCTTCGTGCTTTTTGCCAAAACTATCGTTCTGTCTTTTCCGATCTCTCAGAGTATCATGATCTTTTCCAAAAAGAGCTCTGACTGCTGTATCTGAGAGAGAAAGAATGAGTATTTGACTTAATTTAGTGGTCAGATAATCTACTTTTACTAAAACAAGGGCAGTTCCTATTCTTAGAACTTTCAGTTGAAGAGGTGAGTCCTTTTATTACTTTTTTGTTGTACCTACTGGAAATTGTCCTATTGTTTCACACATTGTAGACATCTGGGCCAGTGTTGACATTTTATATATTATTGCAAGATTAATAAATAATAGACTGGCTATTATGGTATTGTTTTCCTTTACCAGCAGACTCTTTGGTATATATTTATAGACATCATTTATGTCTATAGGAGGTATGTAGTGCTGTGTTTCCATTTTCTCCATTTACATATCTGTAAGATGGAATTTGGGGTTTTGTTTTTGTCTTAATCGGGTTAGTGGATTGTCATAAATATTGGAATAATACAGACACACGTCCTAATCCTATCACTAAATAGGTGCTTACAATGTAGTGGGCATTTTTTTTTTTTAAGTGGGGAGAGGTTACCATGATATCATTCTTGCCCTGTGTCTCTCAACAAAGTTTAATGAGAGAAAAACAACTATTTTTTTTTTCTTTCTTTCAAAAACCCTACATAAACTCATTTAACCTTCTCGATGTTGTAGAAACACTTTATAAGAACGGTATGAGAAAGAGCTTCAAGGAAATATGCTAGAATGCGGAGCAAATGAGTAACACAGATTCTGGTGTCTGAATCTAATGAATGGACACAAATTAATCACCTGGGGAAACCATTCACTAGAACAACCATGGAGTGACTTTGATGACTTGTTGGAATCTTCTCTTGCTCATGTTATTTCTTTCATCTGGTTTGCCTCTGAGGGTCACTCTGCTCCTTCTTTACACATGGGTACTGTTCTTTGCTCTCCCTGGCTCATAGGAGGGAAAGTGGAGACTGAGACTCAGTCTGTTGGCTCAGTGCCTTGGGTCTTGTGAATAACCAAGTTTCATTGGGAAGGAGCTACCACCGTGCAGGGCCTTGATTTTGATATTGCAGTCTATCAATTTGAAGGGAAAAGAAGGTTAAGGACTTACTGGAAAATTTAAATTACCTCTTAGTCATGTGCCCGTTGGAAATTAAACTGCTCTCTCAGAACTTGGACTCCAGACTTGTCCTTTGGTTTGTGTGAGGCATCTGGAGGGGAGCTGTGAGCCAAATGTGGTGTCCTGGGTGGGAAAGGTGGTTAACCTGATCCCAAACACCTTTCCCTGCCATATGCCCCTGAGTGTCTTAGAGTTTGCCTTTCCAAGCCAAGCACCAGAAAATGTCTACAGGATGAGGTTGGGACAATTACATGGTGGTGGTGGTATCTTATTTTTTAAGAAAAGATGGGGGAACCCTTAGGTGTTCAGGGTTTGGCAAACAGAAATAGCAAAAGATTTTGGATTTAGAAATGGGGGGGGAAACTCTCTCCCTAGGACATTTGTCTTTTATTTCTGTTAGCAACTCATAAAATATGAGTTAAAAATTGTATTGCTTTTAATTCATAAAAGTTCTATTTGTGCAGAAAATTGTTACTAAAACAAATATTAGAAGCAAGAAATCAATAGCGGAATTAATATGATTGTCTTAAAAAAAGCAAGCAAACTGACAAAAATAATTATAAGTAACAAGTGTAAATTGTTGGTGGCTTGCTATAAAAACAATATAGAGTGATTAATTGCTTTCTTAAACATCAAGATTAGCCTTGAACTAAATTTGGAATTAATCCTGTACTAGCTGGGAGAAAATACTCAACTTTTCTATGTCTATTTCTTTATCTGTAAAAAAGAACTAATAGTTCTCATCTCAAACAACTGTTATAAGAATAACTGAGATAGCATATATAAAGCATTCAGCATAGTTGAATAAACGTAACATTTTAGTTGTAATTAGTTGGAAAATGACATTAATATTATCTCATCTAAAATTGTCATTAAAATATACAAAAAAGTTCTTAGAAAAAATTACAGAAAAAATGTAGGACCTATAAGAGTGAAAATATTAGATTTTACTATGAAATATAAGGTTTCCTTTCAGTAATGAAATAATATGCTATCTTTATAGATTAGGAGATTCAATATTATAGTGATGTCAGAATATATATAATCCATTGGGAATGTTTAGGGTGTACTATGTGTCAGCAACTGTATAATTATTAATATGTGTGTGTATACCCCAATTATTATTCATATCAACTCAGTGAAGAAGGAATTATTTTGTTCAACTCATAAAAGAGGATACTGGGGCATAAAGAAGAAAAAATACACGAGTCCATATGGCTGGTAGTTGAAGGAATGTGAAGTTGGATAGAAGTAAATTTTATTTCTAATTTGAAAAATGAATAGGACTTTGCAATTGCTTAAATGGTTCAAAATTAATCTGGAAAAGATAAGTCCACTAGAGCAACCAAGGGTAATTTTCAAACAAAGAATAGCATATGTACAATTATCTTAACAGGAATTAAAATATCTTATAAAGCCACGAAAGGACAGATTCATGGTATAGAATCGAGTCAAGAAAAAGAATCAAGAATAAAGGATATTTATCTCAGCTTGAGTCTGCTTTAAAATCAGTCTAAGAGAAACATTTGCATCCAGATAGCGTAGGGATAGGCGCTGGGAACTTGGAAGACTGGAACAAGGAAAGAGGCTAAGCCAATGTAAGGGATGCATTATTTGGCTAGTAAGTGGGCAACTGGGACTTGGGCACACTGGGTCATTCTGAGGAGCTCTGTACAATACATTTTCGTCACTGAAGATGACAGAAGAGCAGTGTATCCATCCGGTCTCCTGTCCCACACACTGGTCAGAGGTTGTCCTTGGTCAAGAGTACTATTCGCTTGTACTTCCGGATTGGTGTATGTGTCATAGTGGTGGAGTGGTTTCACCAAGCATCCTCTGCCACTGCGGCGGAGGAAGTCCCTTGCGCTGGAAAGGAGAGATTTCCGTTTTCAGAGGAGGCAAGTTGCCCTCAGATCTGAGTCCACTCCAGCAGTGGCCGGAGTATGAAATGGTCTGTAAAGATGGGTGAAGTCAGAGAGGGATTAGATGCAGGGAAACAGTTTCTAGTAAAAGTGGCATTTCAAAAGCACTGCGGAAATAGCATTTTATTTGATTATAGAGTTAGGGAAAACTGGTTAAAATATGAATAAAACTTACATAAAGTTAAGTTCCAGGTGAAATAATGATTTAAATGGTAGAAAACAAAAATACTAAAGGATTAGAAGAAAATACAGGTGCGTAGTTTTTTTTGTTTAAACGTTTGATTGGTTGGTTGCTTGTTTTTGTTTTTTAACAATCTTAGGGATGGAAAAGACTGTTATCATAATATTTAAGACTAAAAACCACATAGGAAAATACTACAACTAATTTTTAAAAGTTTTTTAAAAGTTAAACCAAAATAGTTTTTGCTCTTCAAAAGTTGCTTTCTTTCTCCAACTAAACAGTTTTATTAAATTAAATAAATATATCTGAAGTTTGACTAGTTAGTTGCCAAGTACTCATTATCCACTCTCTGCCCTAATATACTGTATTTACAGTACAGCACTTAGTAACTTAAGACCCTATGATCAAAGAGAGATCTAGGCCACCCTTAAATGTATATCTAAAATCTAGATGAATTTTTTTAAAGATCAAAGTCAGATTTATACTCAGAATCTATTAGGGGTGTGGATCTATAAATGGAATATCAGAGCAATTTAAGAGTAAAGTATTCCCCTCTTAATTTCACTGCTATTTGAATTTTTTTTAAAGATCTTATTTATTTGAGAGAGAGCGAGTGAGAGAAGGAGAGAGAGAGAACATGAGCAGGAGGAGGGGCAAAAGGAGAAGCAGGCTCCCCACTGAGCAGAGAGCCCAAGGAGGGGC